TCTCCTTTCCTTCTTCGTTTTTTTTGATAAAGGGCTTCTCTGTGGGTACTGACTGAATAAGAAAAACATCAAATATCTGGGCTGTATTTTTAACTCCCTAGCTTCTTGATCCATTGGCTGCATAAATCCATCAGCCAAGCCAGCTGATTTAGCCATTCTAGAAATCGACTCCAGTGTCCACTTTTAAAGAATTTGAGTGTATTTTCTGACTTTTTGATGGTGAAAAAAAATCCTTGGGCTCAGTGGAAACAAGGTTTCACTTTTGCCTTCATCCTAATCAGAGGTTGAAATGTTAGGTTTACATAGACCTACATGAAGCCTCTCTTTTTCCTGTATCAGACTCCCCAGAGGCTTTTTCAGCAACATGGAAATCTCAACTTATTTTCTTAGGAACCCTTTAATAAACAAAGACAAGATGTTGGGTTTGTTTTTTTTAATATGTTGGAATTTTGTCTCTCTTGCACCTTTGGCAAATGACAAGAGATTGACATCCACTTACAGAAGTGGATGAGAGATTGTGTCCCATCCACTTTCGGAAAACCTGACTCTTCGGTCTGTGTAATTGCCTTATTCACAGAATTGGGCACCTAGAAGGATATGGAGAGTTGTCAAAATGAGCAGGTCTGTTTCCTTAATTTAATTCAGAGAGCTGTGTTTTGGATGTGGCTCAGAAGCATGGCCACTTTGATTTTGGAAGAACAAGTTATTTTGTACAGTGTATGATAGGTAAAACTTCATCGTCAAAAGAAACTTTTCAGGCATTTCTACTTAGATGATGGGACATTAATTGGTTTATTTTTTTTTCTTTGAAGATGTGACATTTATGCCATTAATTGGTTTAATATGTGATTTTTTGATTATTGTATTGAATGAGGTATTAGCTTCTGCAATGAATATATTACTCTAAATAAAATTGTGAGCAGTGTAGAATAATAGCTTTTATAACAAGAGCTGTAGTTCCAAAACATTTTAGAAGGCTATCATTCTGTGAATCTTGTTAAACGTTGGAATTAAATACATGATGCCTAATTACACTACAGCAACATATATAAAAGAAACCATTTTCAATATTACATAATGAGAAAGTAAAGTTACCAGAAAAGTCTAGTAACTCCTTAATTTCAACACAGCATACTGTGTGTTTGTAAATGTTGTCTATCTTAATAAATTTAATTAATAAAATTAATTTTAGTGATTATTCAATGGTCCATTGTATAAACAACTAATAATAATTTTTAAAAAGCACATTTTTGATTGGCCACCAACACAAATTCTTTTTATCTTTTTTATTTTAATTTTTTTTGTTTTTTTATCTCTTTGATTGATGATGTCAAAACTGACTGAGACATGGGTTATAGTTAAAAAGGCAAATTCGCTTATGTAAAACAGAGTCACTTATTTAAGTAACTTAACTCCCAAGCAAGAAAAAAAGGGATTTGGACCAGTTCATTGGAGTTTATGGGATTGGAATCTGACACCTCTGTTTTGATGCCACATTGACTTTTTCTGTTGGTTTTTTACCTTCTAACTTTGTCAGCTTTTCAGGTATAGTAGTAATTTATTGAGATACCTGAACTCATTCATAGGTACAATCAAACACTGCCTGGTTCCCAGCCTTTCATGGCTCTTTTCTTCAAACTGTAGGACCAGAACCCTGGCCCAACACCCTGAGGATAGAGCTCAGATGATGTCTAGGAGCTCCGAACCATGTGAAGTGTGGGTCACCCTTGTTCTGTGTGCTCAAGGCTTGGTGTTGGTCAGTACAATAGTTTTAAGTTCCTTTAAAGAACAACTGCATTACTATTCATTTTCTTCACTGTATCCCTAGAATATAGCCCTGCTCTCGGGGGTACCCCTCCCAGAGATGGGAGTCCCCTTAACCTTGTCTCTATGGCTAGGGTTATACTTCCCTCCTACCAACTGCCTGGGTCACCATCCCTGGGCTTCAGCCACCTTCTGGGACATTTCTGATACCTCTTAGGCACGACTCGTGCGGATCTGCCTGTTCCTAGAAGTACTGCCTTTCCTTCTCAACAAAGTGCTGTTCATTCAGCATGCATTTACTGAAGTCCTATAAGGGGATCCACCATTCCCAGCATCTGGACCATCAGAAATCAGTAAAAGGACCCCTCAACCCCAAATGTAACCCTCAGATGCTTTGCTTGGTGTTCCTGCTGCCCTCACTGCCCCAGCTCCAGGAGAGGGACAATGCGCTTCCTCTCCTTCTCTGGCCTAAGGGCAGACTCACAAATATTGTCATGGTACCTCTTGCCTGGCTGAGGCCTGACTGGAACATCCAAATACAGCTTTCTTTAAGGCTCAGGGACGGCAGAAGGGAAGGGAGGACAGCCCCTAGGATGGGATAATCCAGCTGTGACCCTCTCTAGTTTGCCTCTGAGTCCAGTCCCCAGCCTGCAGTGGAGTGAAGGAGCCCACCCTTCTCCCACCTCTGGCAGAGCCTTCAAACACCCTAAGCATGCCTCCACTGCCCCAAATCTAGCCTAGGAAAGTAAGGTCTAGGGATTTTCTTTCTTGCCAAGACTGATTTCAAAGGTCTGGCTTCCTGTTCAAGGACCCACATCTTCCCCAGATGATTGATATATGCCACTGTCTCCCAGCCGCACTAATTGATAGACCCTACCTGAAGGTCTCAACAGGACACATACATCCGAATACACCCCAGGGAGCTTAATGTGGTTACAAGAGGAGACCTACTCACAGTTGTGTGTGTGTGTGTGTGTGTGTGTGTGTTTGTTGGGGGAGGGGTCTTTCCTGGTACACTGTGAGGACCTTCCAGTGAGGAGCATATGATCCAGCGGCAACTTGGCTTTGGCATTTATAGTTGGACCTCTATGCCCTCTGTGAGGGACCCTGATTCTGTGGCATCGTCCTCTCAACTTTTCCATTCAGCCGCAGTTTTCATCATCATTTTCCCATTGAGCCCCAAGAGTCTCAGTGAGCTTTGCTTAAGTGATATAGTGGACAGTTCTACTTTTGGCTTCCCATCATCTTCCAAATTGTCCACCCATATTGATGATGGCATGTGTCGTTCATCTGGGGAAGATGTGGTTCCTAGCACAGGAAGTCAGGCCTTTGAAGTTGGTCCTGGCAGAAGAGAAAATCCTAATTTTCTTAAATATGCTCAGAAATAGGTGTGTGATCTAGGCTGTGCCAACAAGGCTTGTCCTTGGGAGACATGGGTTCAGAATGAGGCACGGGAGAAAATTCATTGGCTCTTTTTGGAAGTTCCACTTGGCTGGTGCAAGGAGGCAGTAGCTGCCAGGTGGAGCTCCTGGCACAGAAGTGGCATCAGTGTCGGTGGCAGTCAAGTTCCTGGCTTGTAGTGTGTGGTGGTGGCCACAGCCATTTTGGTGTTTTTCTCACCAGGCCAGTTCTTCAGTGTGGTTTTAGGTATGTTTCTGGAAACAACCTTGAACCACTTTCTCCATGCACTGCAAAGTTCCAAGTGTCCTAGTATGAATCCCTTTCCTGCTTAATCCAGTTGGAGTGGGGACTGCCGTTTGCAACAAAGAAATGTGACCGAAACAGATGAGATTATGGGAACCTCATGGCTTTGGGACAAACAGGGACTATACACTGGATTGTAGGGCATGGGGCATCAGATCTGCCACTTTGTAGATGTGTGATCTTCGGCAAAGTGCCAAACCTCACTGACCTCTAGGTTTCTCAGATCAATTATTGTGATGATTCAATAAGCTGTCACATGTAAAGAATCCAACATGGTTGCTGACACATGAAGAGCACTCCATCCTAAGTATTAAATTATGTCCTCTGTTGTACTAATACAACAAGAAGAACAGAAGTTCTTATTGTTTAAGACTTGTTGAAAAAAAAATGTTCCATAGTTCTTCTCTGGGGGCAGTATTGATTTTGAAGCTAATCTTGCCAGTTTCAGTCAATTTCCTGAGTTGACTGAAACTGTTCTCTGTCACGCTTTCAGCTAGCTGCAGGCTTTAAATGAAAATACAGAAGGCAGTCACAAAAGACCACATATTGTGTGATTCCATTTATATGAAAAGTCTAGAATAGGCCAATCTATACAGACAGAAAGTAGATCAATGGTTGCCTAAGGCTGGAGAGTTTGGGAGGAAATGGAGAGTGACTGCTAATGGTTATGGATTTTCTTTTGAGGGTGAGAAAAATGTTCTTAAACTGATTGTGGTATGTGGGGAGGGTATAGCTCAGTGGTAGAGGGTCTGATTAGCATGCACAAGGTCCTGGGTTCAGTCCCTGGTACCTCCATTAAAAACAAACAAACAAACAAACAAACAAACAAACCTAATTACCCCCCTAAAAATAAAATAAAATAAATAAAATTGATTGTGATAGTGGTTGCACAACTCTGTGAA